ATGACCACGGTTGCGTTTCCTTTATCCGCTTTCATTATGGCGATGTTGCCATCTTTTTCCAGTTGTTTTACGGCAATTTATTCAGATTTACTTAGATTGGATCCAGTAATCTGAAACCTTTGAACTTCGACAGCAGCTAATTTGGCGAAGTCTTGGATGGCTGTCTGGCGATATATCAGATATGCTCGTTCAATCGATGTCGCAATTTCGAGAACTGGCCCTTTATCTGGAGCAGAGGCAAAATTCAAGCCTTTGGAGAGAACGGACTTTTGATCTTCTGTCAAGTTCTCGCTGCTCAAGTTTACTACCTGGTAACGATTTTCGAAAACGATTTTCTACGCGAATTCTAAAACTCCGAGTACTTCTCCAACATCAAGGTGTCGAATTTCTTTCGCATCTTCGTAACTCGACCATGAGTTGACAGTGGCGAACTATCTCCTGCAATTCCGTACCTTGTAGAGAAACCGACAACTCTTGCAGCAATATCTCCATATTTGAAATTATGCCAGACAATCTGAATCCATGATATGGGATACGTCTTCTTTCAAACTTCTTCTCAAAATCATCTTTTAGACGATGCTCCGATGGAGATTGGAACATGGTTCTTTTTAGTCGTAGTCCGGTGGGTATTAAGCAGTTATCACAGCAACGGAGAATGAACGTGAGATGACTAGCGTTCGTGTAACAAAATCGTTGAATACTTCTCCAGTTTCCTGCACTGCTGCATCAAAGGCGCCCCGTGGGTATGCATATAAATAAATATATATACAGGATCGCAAACCGAACTTTTTCGCCCTCCTGCTAATTTTTTCAGTTTTGCATCTACGTCTCATAGTGCTGCCGGTTCTAAAATATTATGTAACAATGGCTTGTTTAAGGGGTTTCGTTGGCTACTGGAAGCAACGGGAGGGTCCGTCGATGCCCTACCAAATCCGGAGAATCGAGGAAACAATATTTTCTTATTGGCGGCATTAAACATTAAAAGGCTGCCAGGAATGTAATAACGCTGGAATCAGTTTTGTATTAATCTTTAATTTAATTTCTAATTCGTTGCATGACTTCCTTTTTCATGAACAGTAGATGAACTAAGTAGTCACCGCCAGCTGACTCAGTCAAATCTTGATCAAGGAATTTATCACATGTTGCTTAAGCTCGG